TTGTGTAGGTCAGATGCAAAGCCCCTCCCCCCCTCATTGGTTCAGCTTCCATCCTAGAACTAGCAAAAAGTAATCTATTGTAGGAATAAACCAAGCCACATCCTGGGATGGGGATGGGGGATTGCCCCCCTCATTCTGTACTCCATGGGAACCAATCAGCCTTTTGGATGATAATAGAGAAGACTCAAGGGAACATGTCTGCCATCCTGGCCCTCAGAAGAAAGTGACCGAAATGCTAAGCTCTGTGGGCATCTTAACGGAACTTTGATTGGAGTGGGTGAAAGTGTGTTGAGATTTCTGGGTCCAAAAGTGCCTCGGGCTGGCATATAAGAAGCTTGAAGGCTGATCAGAAGGCAGTGTGATGGAGTAGAAAGAGGATAGGTATGGATTTAGATAGGGGTTTGAATCACTTACTACCCATGTAACCTTGTATAAGTCACTTGACTTCTATGAATCTGTTTTCTCATGTAAAATGGAATGACTTTTAATGTCCCCTCCAAGTCTAAATCTTACAATACTAAGCATCCAGATGAATAAAATGAGGGTGAGAAAAGTTAAAGGACGCATACAAGGTTACACAGTTAATAAGTACAAGCACCAAGACGAGAACTTGGGTCTTCTGATGTCAAGGGCAGATAGGTGGTGTAGTGAACAGAGCACTGGGCCTGGAGTCAGGAAGACTCATCTTCCTGAGTTCAAATCTGGCCTCAGACACTTGCTAGCTGTATGACCTTGGGCAAGTCACTTAATCCCCTTTGCCTCTGTTTCCTCATCTGTAAAATGAGCTGGAGAAGCAAATGTCAGGCTACTTCAGTATCTCTGCCAAGAAAATCCCAAATGGGGTCATGAACAAGAACGACGCTTCGGACAACCAGCTTCTTTGTAAGAGTCTTAGAGAGCTGTCTGGAGGTCCTGAGAGGCCCAATAAATCACCAGTGGCTACACAGCTAGCACGTGTCTGATGTGAATGCCAAAGATGACATTCTCTTATCTTTTAATGTGGTAAATCCCACGATATACCAGCTTTTCACATCGTGTCCCAGGTGCTGGGGAAGCCGTAGGGGCTTTTGTGGTGGTAGGTAAAACCAGGTACATCTCACATAAATCTTGGAAAAGAAGAATGGAAAACTTTTTACCCAGCTCATTTCTATAACATCTCACCAAGAGTATGCCTTCTTTATGCCAAATTAATGGTGATTCTCAGGTATTCTCCTCTTCCCCCTCCATTCAGGCATTGAAACTTGAACAAATTCGAAACAACACAAATAGAAACTGTAAGAAGAAAGAATCCGGGTCTTGAGGGTGCTGGGCAAATAATAAAGATGGAGAAATCACAAGCTCCTTGCTTTATACCAGTATTGGGCAGGGTGGGGGTGGAGAAATTTGACAGTGGCATCGAGAACAGGATGTTTCAGTCATCCGGAGACTTAGGGAAAGCCCTTAGGAATGAAGGTGAGATCACAGAAGGTAGAATCTTAGAACTTTGAGTTGGAAGGGATCCCTGAGATCACCAGTGAGGAATGATATAATGAAGAGAATTCTAAATGTGCCCTCCAGAAGATGACTTCAAACTCTATCTCTGACACTGTCTATATGAACATTAACTACGTCTGAGACTCAATTTTCTGTAAAAGAGAGAATGGTGATAACCCATAGTACTTCCCAGGATTATTATGAGGATCAAATGAGTAAATGGATGTAAAGTGCTTGGCAAACCTGAAATCACTACATAAATGTCAGTTACTATTATGTAATCCAGCTCTTTCATCATATATGAGGAAACTGAGGGCCAGAGAAGGAACTTAGCCAAGATCATAGGGCTGGTTGTAGCACAGCCAAGCCTGGCACCCATGTCCCCTGAATCCTAATCCCACCAACGCCTTTTGCTTTAAGTCTCTCAAGCCTTGGTCACATCTCCGAACATCCCAGAGAAGTAGCTGAGTGAAAAGTGAAAAACCAGAGGTCTGAGGTTCACCTCCCTGGCCAATACCAGTATTCTTCAAGCGCAAGAGATGGACGAGTTGTATATCAACACCGTGAGGGCTGTCAGACAGTGTGTCCCCTCCACCGCCCCCAAGGACCCGCAACTTTGGCGTTCATTTTCTATGAGCCTGGCACCATCAAGGGCTCGCTGGTGCTATCCACCCTCCCCACTCTCCCTTGGGCATCCTCTCCCTCCTCCCTCCCCGAGCCTTTCAGGCAGGGCTACAAGTCAGGCAGAAGTTGGAGCTGCCAGTTTGCTAAGTGCTCCTGGGTTGCATTGATAAAAGGAACAGACAATGCCTTCATTAAGATGTTCACAAAGGCTGGAGTTGGTCAAGCCTCTCTCGCTATTACAAGAGGAGACCGCCCACAATCGCTCCCTGGTTTTTTGTTCTTTTGGTTTTTTACAAGAGCTAACAGGCAGAGCCAAGTAATCAGAAGCAGGAGAACGTACACAATGGAGAATAATTTAAAGGAAAACAACCCTTGAAAGCCAGCCAAATTCTGATCCGTGCAGTGACTCCTCTTCGCTTCTGAGAGGGCTGATGGGGAAACAGACCTCCCTCCTTTCTTTCCGCAGAAAGGTGGCAGTCTATGAGTGTGGAATGAGGCGTAGATGGTGAGATGTGCCCAATGTGTTAGTAATTCTGCTTCATAACACATGGGTTCTTTTGGGTGGGAGGGAGGGGAGAGTCATAGAGTAACGAAAAAAGACAGCATCGATATGATTGATAGTTATTTGGTTCCCAGACTTCTGGCTAAATGGCATTCATTTTCGCTAGCTGCAAAGATTCCTTACCTGCTGCCCCAAATTGCAAAACTTAATTCAGATCGCACCTTGTGGCAAAGAGCAATTAAAATACAATGAGTCAGCAGAAAGCATCTGCATACTGTTCCCTCAAAATCAGGCCAGGAAAGTGGGGGGGGGATTTTTTTTTCCCGAAACGTCGTCTAATGAGCACTTGCTTTCTCATCTCTTTCTTTTCCCCCTTCTTTTTGAATCCAAACGTTTGGATTGGGACAGACAAGCCTCCTAGTCACCTTTCTGTCTGGCTGTGTCAGTGTCAAAGGGAGACAAGCGTGGCCCCCTCCCCAGCAGGGCAGGGGCCAGGAGCTCGTAGGCAGGGCCCCTCTCAAATAGTCATTCTTCCCAGCCTGGTGGAGGGGGAGAGAAACCTCGGGTCGCTCCCGGCCACTCGGAGCGCAGGGGAATTCCTGCTGCCGTGTCACTCGGAATGCTCCCAGGGGACAGGCTTGGGGTGATCCTGCTGTCCCCCTGGGTTTTGTGTGTGTGCAGGAGGGGGGAAAGAAAGAAAGGCCTGGTGAAGTTGGAAGGGTTTAATTAAGTGCCCTCCACTGGTTTTCTATTTGAGCAATTACTTGGTGGGCTACCTTGTAATCCCAAGCACTCAAACCGCCAGGCTCCATGTCCAGCTGACATTATTCTGAGCCTCTTTCTAATCTGATTGAGATGGAAATGATCTCCTGGGAGGGGGGAGACAGAGAGTGGGAAATACACTCACTTAGCACAGGAGTGTGACCTCAGGAAGTGTCCTGGACAAGAAGGTCCCCTCTCCTTCTGCTTGAAAAGTGAGAGAGACTCCTGTGACACATCCCATACAGTGGAACCTCAGACTGAGGTCTGGGAGGAAAGAGGGTTCAGATTGAGAAAACCCCAACATTACCCAGTTCCTGGCTCTCTGAACCTTCCTTACCTTACCCTCCTAGTTTTCTTAACATTAGCATGTGATGAGAAAATGAGAGGCAGAGGATTGCAGGGGAGAGAGCAGGGGTTCTTAAACTTCTTTTTGCCATGGAACACTTTGCCAATCTGGTGAAGGCTATGGACTCCTCAGAATGTTTCTAAACCCATAATATTATAATTAAATTGAATTAATTAAATTGAAATACAGTTTTCAAAATATTAAAAACAAACAAACAAGTTCAAGGATCCTAGGCAAAGGACCTCTCGAATAGAAGGCTAGTCTCCGATTTAGGAAGACTGGATTCAAATCTTGCTTTTGACACACAGCAGAGAAAGATTATTGGCTCTGGAGTCAGAGGACTTGGGTTCAAATTGCTCCTTTAATGCTTTGCATCTGTGTGACCTTGGGTAAATCAAAACCTCTCCGGGCTTCAGTTCTTTCATCTGTACAATGCAAGAGTAGGACTAGAAGGTCTGAGTTTCTCTTCCAGCTCTAGAATTATGAGTGTGAGGTAACATATTGGTTATGTGACCATAAGTAAGTTACTTAACCTCTCAGGGCCTTAGATACTCTTTAACACTTTAAATCACACAGGAGTTGGCTATCTGTGTTTGTGAAGGGAAATGCCAGCACCAGGAGTGCCCTTCCCAAACCAGTGAAATCACATATCCAGACCCTATTAACCTCCTCCCAGATATGGCAAGGACAACAGGGAGATTCACATGGAATATTTTCCCAAATGAAAATATTCAAAAGTGGTTGAGAGAGATGTATACAATTGTCACTGAAATGGAAGCCTGCTGAAGAGTTCAGCCTTTTTATATCTATACTTCATTTCAAACTTGCTTGTAAGTTCCAAACCCAGACCCAGTGGCCCAGCAGAAACTCTTGATCTCTAGAAAAAAAGTGCTATGAGCAGTTATTTAGAGGTGTCCCACGAAATGTAAAGGCAGGTAAGGAAGCGGACTAAAATTCAGATTTTCACCCCCAAGCATCATCTCACACCCTTTCCAATGGGCAACACTAATGCTAGGAATGGATAAAAAAGACACTGACTGGTCTGCCATCTACCTTATTTCTAGTCAGTGGGAATACTACTATAGGGGAAAAAAATCTCAGCTTCAACATTTCTTTCCCCACATATACAATGAAAACTAGGTTGTCATTTAGGTCAATGAGTCCTACCCCTACAAGGATGGAAAAGTTTATACAAGAAGTGGGGTCCAAGGTTGGGAAGAGAAGAGGACTCTCCTCCAGGGGATAAAGACCTCTACCTGTCCAAAGTCCTAAGAAGATGACCAGGTCACTTACCAGGTATGGCTGAGCTGGAGGACACAAGTGAAAAGGAAGATATAGGCTGGGGGCTCCATGAGAAACAGTCCCAGGATGGAGACTTGCGATCCAGGGAGCAGAGATGAGCTCCTCAGCGAGAAGGGGATGGAATTTCCTCCAACCCCAACTTTCTTGGTGGGTAAGTGAACCCAAGTAGAGAGCGAAGGGGAAATGAAATGGAGTAGTCAAACTTCCTAAGAAGAGATTATCTACTTAATTAAAGTTTTTTTTTTCTCTAAGCCCTTCAGCCAATCAGAATTCAAGTGCCAGAGAGAGATTGGGTTGATCAAAAGAACACCCCAGGATCCTCCCAGACAAATACAGAAGGGGACATGGAACAAGAGGACAAAGAGGGACATGGGAAAGAAGACAAAGAGAGAAAGGGGAGAAAAAGAGACACAGCAAATCCCCTCCACGTAGTCAGGGCATGTGCTCCCCGCCTTCCCCCGAGCCTCTCCCTCCCCTCCCCACAGGTCCCCAGAGGGGATTTAGATGGAGTTGTATTTTCTGATCCTTTCTCCCCTAGGCTTTGAGTTTTCATTACACCCAGGGCATCTTTCTTTAGAGGAAATGGACCATTCTGCCAGGAGCCAGATCCAGGAGGGAGGGATGGAGAGAAGGGGGTGAGAAGACACAACCTTTGACCCAATGTCCTTCTAATCTTCCCAGCTGACTTCTTCCCTTTATCTTTCTAGTCAAACAGCAAATATTAATGATGAAGTATCCACTGTACGCTCAGCTCTATGCTAGGCACTGTGGGGGAATTACAAAAGCATACATTTCAATTCAGTTCAAACCAATAAGCACTTATTAAGTATCTGCTATGTGCCAAATGTGGTGCTCGGTGCTAAGGACATAAAGATAAAAACGTCAACCTCAAGGAGAGTCTTCAAGGAGCCTACATTCTACTGGGAGGTGAGGATTCTGGACTCAAGGACATTATTGGAACCTGTTAATTCCTAGACAGGAAATGACAAATCATATGAAATGACATCTAATTCGGTGCTATTGTAACCAGCACCCCGGTCTCTGAACTTACATGAACTAAATCCAATCTTGGGGATAGTCACCCCCAAATCATATCTCTTTGGTATGTTTAACCTCGACTCAGAGATCCCTCTGGAAAATCTCTGAATGAATACAGCTCAAAGATAACTTGTATCTATGTCTCCAGAGATGTAAGTAAAAGGGTCCCCAGATTCCATGAAAACATTCAAGGTAACTATACAGATCGGGTCTATACAGACAGTCTATTTCACCTCACAGAAAGTGAAGAAAATATATAAAGGACTCAAAAAACTTTCTAATCAGATCTGAGATTTTAATCAGAGTAGGGAGCTCTTAGTGAGGAACTTAATGTATTTATAATGTATAGCCTTAGAGAGTTATCTGAGAGCACCCGAGAGATTAAGGGATTTGCCCAGGGTCACACAGCTAGGACATAGAGTTAAAACTCAAACCTAGACTTTCTAACTCCAAGACTAGCTCTCTAACCCCTCTGCCTCTCAGTCCATAGATAATATAATTACACTGTCTCTGGTGAGTCTCATCCTTACCCAGAATCTATGCAGTTCTTTAAGTGCATATAGCACTACCCTACAGTGTGAACTGCTGTATGAACTAGGGGTTGTTAGTGAGGCAGGACCCTCCCATTGGATCCATAAAACATGAAAAATGCATGGTAACAGATGAGGGCAAAGTCTAGATTCTCTGCTCTTAGTTTTTTTACTGTTCCTCTGGATGTAAGGCCATGTGTTTTATCTTCTCCCCAAAGAGGCTGATGATGCCCAGGAACTCCCTTCTTCTCTCAAGTTGAGTCAAGCCAACAAACATTTATTAAGTGCCTATAGTGTGCCAAGCACTGAGGACACAAAGAAAGGCCAAAAACCCCATCCTTTGATCTTAGGGAACTCAGAGTCTAATGGGAGGGGGAGGGGAGACCGCATATAAACAACTCCAGACAAACAAGATATAGACACATAAATTGGAGAGAGTCTCAGAGAGAAGGCACTAACATTAAGGGGAACCAAGAAGGCTTTTAAAAGGTGGGATTTTAGCTGGAACCCGAAGGAGGCCTGGAAGCCAGAAGGTGAGAAGGGAGAGAATTCTAGGCATGAGAGACAGTCAAAATGCTTAGAGTTGGGAGATGAAGCCTCTTACGCGAGGAACAGAGAGGAGGCCTGTGTTACTGTATCACAAAGTGTATGGTGAGAGTGAGTTTGTAAAGACTCTAGAAAGGTAAGAAAGGTCCAGGTTAAAAGGGGATTTAAAAGCCAAACTCAAAAATTTTAGATTTGATCCTAGAGACTCGATGTATTAGAGAACCTTCTAGAGAATGTGGCCCTCCTCCATCCTCCAAAAACCTTCATCTGATTCATCTATCCCCACCACCTCTAGTCCCACATCTCTTCTCCCTTTCATTGCCAAATACCCTGAGATGACCAGCAGTAGGTGGTTCCACTTCCTTTCCTCTCAATCTCTTCTTAACTCTCTCTCCAACCATCTTTCCTATCATTCTACTGAAAATGCTCTTTCGCAAGTTACTAACAATCTCTTAATTGCCTTATCTAATGCGTTTTCCCAATCTGCAGCCATATTGACCTCTTTCTAGCTTTTGATCCGATCACCTTCTTCTGCTTGATACTCTCTTCTGAGATTTCCATGACATGAACCTGATTCTCCTCCTACCAACCTGACTATTCTTTCTCAGCTTCCTTCCCTAGATCTTCATTACAGTCACATTTGCTGACTATGGGTGTCCCACAGGGCTCTGTCCTGGATTTCCTGGATATCCTATATTTGCTTATCCTTCCCCATCCCCTAGTAGAATATAAGATCCTTGAGGGCAAAAACTATCATCCCCAGTGCCTGGCACATAGTAGGTGCTTAATAAATGCTTGTAGATATATTGTTGAAAAGTATGTTGCCTTACACCCAGAATACTAGGGTTTATAATGAATGTTAAAAGCAATAAACTACATGGATGGGAAGAGGGTGATCAAAGAAGTTGGAAAATTGCTTATGTTGGATGAGATAATGGCAAATGGACAGCACAGAAATGACTGAATTACTCAATTCGAATTTTGCTTCTTTTTCTCTTCCTTACTAAAGGGAATGATTTTTAGGCTGGGGAGTACAAGACTAAAATGGTTAGCAGAAAAGTGAAACCCAAAGAAAAATTTTAAAAAGCACCTAGATGCTTTTAACGAGTTTAAGTCACCAAGCTCTCACAAACTGAAGTAAAATGCTCTAAAAGAATGAATACTGTAAATGTGACTATTAAAATGCTTTCAATGGAGGCAGCAAATGGATAGAGGGCTGGAGCTGGAGTCAGAAAGACCTGAATTTAAATCCAGCCACAGACATTTAGTAGCTTTGTGACTCTGGGCGAGTCACTTAATCTCTACCTACCTTAGTTTCCTCAACTGTAAAATGTGTATAACAATAGTGATGAGGCTGACTTTTGCCCAGCAACAAGGGGAAATCTTTAAGGTTGACTTTTGCCCAGCAACTATGAGGGCCTCATCTAGATCTGCCCAGTAACAGAAAGCTGTGTCAGATTAAAAAAAAAATCATGCTTCCTTAGCCCATACTCTGTACATGATAAGTCCCCTCATACTGGCACAAATGTTGCAAGCTAAGTTCCTTATTCTGTGATCACATTCTTGAACTGTTTTGAAATGTACTCAGCACACCTGCTTCCCTTTCCTGCCTCCCCCTTTCCCTGCGATTAACTACTCACATAGGAGCATACTCCACTCTTGGCTGAGTGGCTAAAAAATTGTGCATAAAAACAAACCCCTGTCTTCCTTCAAACTACTAGCACCCCCCCCCCCGGGCTAGTCCACTGCTTTTACAACAATAAAGCTAAAAAAAAGAAAAATATGTTGTACAATGGGCCCACCTGACTCAGTCCACTCCTGCTGCTCCTGTCATGAGGGCATAGGCACCCACCTCCTCCAGACCATCAGGACTGCTATGGCAAACATTGAGACTGGGGGGATTGGGAGCTGAAACAAGGAGTAAGACCAGATAGAGAACATTCTACTCACTTGCCTTCATCGAAGGAGTTCCTCCCATCTTCTGTTACTCTGACTGGACTCATTACTTATCTAGAATAAAGTCTTATTCCTTATTCTCTCCTTTCCTATGATAGTGAATCCCAAACTATATAAAACCCCTTTCTTCAATCCATGTGACCTGTTTCCTCATTTCCATACACCTTGACTCTACCCCCACTGTAACTCCCATTCTTTTTGAAAAAATATTTTATTTGTTTTGATAAGTCAAGATTTGCCTTCTAACCCTCCCAACTCCAATTGATAATTCAAGAAACATAAAACCCATTACAAACATGCATATTCAATCAAAACAAATTTCCATATTGGCGATGTCCAAAAAAAAAAATCGGTCTCATTTTGCACTGTGAATCCTTCACCCCCTCTGTCATGAAGTGGGTAGTGTGTTTCATCATTATTCCTCTGAAATTGCAGTTGGTCATTATGCTGATAGGTGATCAGTCCATAGCATTCCATCACATTTATATAACATAACTTATTCATCTATTCCTCAATTCATGAGTACCCCTTCAGATTCCTATTCTTTGCCACCGAAGAGCTATGCATATTTGGGGGCACCTTAGAGTTTGTTTTACTTACTGTTAATCCCTCCCTTAATTTACCCTTCTTCAAATTATCACTTCCCTCTTCCTTTTTCCCCCTTATTTTTTCGTTGAGTGAAGCGTATTTCCGTCCCCAGCTCATGTATGTGTGTGCATTCGTCTTTCTTTTGACTTTGAATGAGACTGAGATTCAAGTGTTAGTTGCCCCCTTTGTTTGTATAGATATATACCCGTGCACCCTCTATATTTGAGGTAGTTCTCCTTAACCTTCCTTTTCCTTCCTCTCCATGCAGCATACTCTTTCTTTCTCTTTCCACTTTTTTCTTAAGATCATTAAGACATAACAGAACAACTCCCAGGCTTTGTCTAATAGTATTCTCTCTGTGAATCCTGATAATGATAGGGCTCAGAGGAGCAATTTATCCATTTATCCTTTATCATTGTTCATTCATGTTTGCCTTTTTATGTTTCTTTTCACTTCTGTGTTTGAACTTCAAATTTTCTCTGTAG